ACTGCAAAAAACATATCAAGATGACACAAGTCCTCATTGCGTAGCCTTGAGTACATGTAAATCATTGTAACGAAATGATGTACTTATACATGTATTTATATTTGTAAATATTTTTATACATATACATACATGTACACGCTCGAGTATGTGTAGTTTGATTTTTTTATTTGACGATTTAAAAGAAAAAAAAAAGAGAAAAAAAAAGAAAAAAAAAAGAAAAAAAGGAAAAAGAAAGATAGAAAGAACTACGATAAAATAAAATCAAAAAAAAAAAGAAAAAAGAAAAAAAAATGATATTACTAGCACAACAAAAAATTGTGGTGAAAGTTAGAGATCGTGCTATTCGGCGATATATATATATATACACACATGTGTGTGTGTGTGTGTGTGTGTGTGTGTGTGTACGCGTGTATACATATATTATTTTAATGCGTCAGCTATATCAGCGTATATCACCTTATCGGTATCGCCGTGTAACGGAATGATTACATAATGGAAATAAGCTTGAAATTGAAATCGAACTCGAGAGATGTCTATGAGGAGAGCTTACGGAACAAAGTCTTAAAATACTGTATTGCAAGAGTAAGAGAGTAAGAGATAAAAGGGAAAGGAGAGAGATAGAGTGAAAGAGAGAGAGAGAGAGAGAGAGAGAGAGAGAGAGAGAGAGAGAGAGAGAGAGAAATTAATGTGTCTGTTAATATCTTCGAATAAACATATAGAAATTGCAATATATATCAGAAAGTTAATATCACTGATTTATACGATCGACCTATATCCTTAATTTATCTAGAAAAATATATTAGAGATAAGATTAATCAAACTATCGTCGTATCTATCATATTTATTGAAATAAAACGAAGAGATTAAAAATAAAAAAGAAAAAGAAAAAATAAATAAAAAGAATAAAATAAAAAAAAAAGTAAAAAGAAAAAAAAAAGAAAGGAAGAAAGAAAGAAAGAAAGAAAAAAAAAGAGATCTAATTTTCGTCTTCATTCCGAACGATATCATTTATAAAATCAATATGATCGAAGAGATTTGATAGAATATCATTGAAAATGTGACAGGTCATTGTACTATTAAGCTTGAATTATGCCATACTATCCTTAAATACGATGTCAAATATAAAATAAATTCTTTTTTTTTTTTCTTTCTTTCTTTCTTTCTTTTTTTTTTTTGTTTTAAGAGAAATCAATTTGACAATCATTATTTATGATCACTCAGTATATAAATATCACCACTTTCTCTCCTTCGTGTCACCTAATTCCGATTACACCTCGAATGTCATAAATTTTGATCACAGTTCTGAAATTTATAGAATGGAACAGACACGCTCTCTTAAAGTGAAAGAAAGAGAGGAAATCTCGTTTTATGGAAGTGTCGTCAAGTTTTAACGGGGAAAAGATATCACATCGACAAATCCACCAACGCAATTATATACGTTCGAGATTTTCATTAGAAACACTATTGGATAGACTAATATTACTAACTAATATTACTAAAGCTATATTATACGCTTGATAAGCGGTATTCCTTGGTAAAAGACGCGGTAAAAGTTAGTTTAAAAGCGTACAAGAGTGGTACCGTCGTTGCATATGTATGTTGCAATGGAATCGAGTAAAGTCGCTCTATAAATAATCGAGCAGTGTATTTCCAGGGCCCCTTTTGCGCAACGCACCAACGATAAGGATAAGCGCAAACATTGCCTTCGAACTTGTCGGTGAACGGCTAACAACGATTCATTTTCTATGTCTTATTGTTAGATTCAATGCGTTCGCGCTTACGTTAACGAAGGTAATGGCATGTGCTTTTTCTTTTATTCATTAAAACTACGGATGTCTCTTTTTAACTAATAAACCCACTTTGTCATCGAAGATTTAAAATTAGTTTCTATCCAATTCGTTGGACCCACATTCAACTCGTTTCAATTTTTCTGCTTTTCTTTTTCCTTCTTTTACTATTTCTTTTCTTTTCTTTTTTTTTCTTTTCTTTTTTTTTTTTTTTTTTTTTTTTTATTATATATGATACAAATGTCTAAATGATTATTGAAATGTGTAAATGCTTGTTCATTGGATATAATTATAAAAAAAATGGATATGATTATGAATTGCATATGATTATGATAAAATGAATTGGATATGATTATGCAAAAAAATGAATCAAATTGGATTCATTGAACGATTTTTCTATAAATCGAAACAAACTCGAACTAAATTGAATGATGTATTTTGTAAATTTTCAAAAAAAAAAAAAAAAAAAAAAAAAAAAAAATAAAAAAAAGAAATAAATAAATAAATAAATAAACGAAGAAAAGAAAAATGAAAAAAGATCGTACGATTTAACGAATGAAAATATTCTTGTTACGTAATCTCAAACGATTACGTTACTTTACTACGTCCACAAGGGGGAAGAGTAAAGAATATACCTAATGGATAAATATTTTGTCGAAGAATAGAACGCAGCTACGCCGGGAAAATATTTTTGTACGATACGCGAGGGTGGCAAGAAATATTTATGAGAGCCGATGATACATTCACGTGCACATATTAACGTTAAGGACTTCATTATCGTATATTGAAATAAGTAAAGAAAGATCTAAACGAGTGAAATATATGGAAATATTAAGAGAAAAAGAAAGAGAAAGAGAAAGAGAGAGAAAGAGAAAAGAGAGGACGATTTATTATATCGAGATAATCTGATATAACTGCAAAATGTTAGAGAAAGATAAAACGAATAAACATAAGTAGATGTATATCTAATGAAAATAAATTAAATTAAAAATGAACAGAAAGTTAACGAAAAGATATAATTAACGTGAAAGTGAAAACTTCAAATAAATTCACGATATGCAAAGAGTGAATTAGCGAAGAAATGAATAATAATAAAAAAAAAAAAAAAAAAAAAAAAGAGAGAGAGAGAAGAGACAAAAAGAAATAAAAAGAATAAACAAGAAAGAAACATAGGAAAAAGAAAGAAAATTGTCAAATTGAACTGATGCAAAAACTAATTTAAATACACAATCTGAACAATCTGAAAACAATCTTTTTTTTTTCCTCCTCGATCGAATCCCTCTGACATCTTGAATCGTCTCTTTAACGTATGCTTTTGTATCTATATACACGTGATTCTCGCGAAGCGTGGAAACGATCGAGAGAGACGACGGGCTTTGCTTTTATCGACGAGAAAGCCAAGAGCGATTCGTAGCCGAGCTTGGGAATTATCGGCGTTCGTGGTTGGGAGAACAAATATACAAAAATAGCCTTCTTAGTTCTCGCATAATCGCAAGGTCAGAGACAGTTTCTGTTACGCTCTCTTGACTTTTAGAAGAATTTTAATCGCGTCTTTCTAAATCGAAATTTTCATTTTCTCCCTTTCCCCAAATCTCAAATCCCAATCCTGGCAAATGTCTGCTCGGACTCAATTCTTTCGAATTGATTGATATCGATCTACATTTTCTTTTTTTTTTCCGTACAAAAAACGATATAAATTGTTGTACCCAACGAGTTTGAAGAAAATATTTTGTAACCATTTTATTTGCTACAATCCATTATTATATTTATGTAAAATCCAATATAAATGATTTTACCTAAAATAATTATATTATACCTAAATATGATTTCTCTATGTGCATCTCCTCTCTCTCTCTCTCTCTCTCTCTTTCATTCTTTCTTTCTCTCTCTCTCTCTCTTTCTCATGGGAATTGTTGAGATGACTATACCGTTAAACTATGTCGACACCAAACTGCAACAATCCGATCGAATCAGAGATAGTAGGAACACGCGCGAGGGCTCACGATCTCTTTAGTAATCGCATCTGCACGTGCGTTTCTATTGCTTCGGGACTTGATCCGTGGCACGAGTAAAACAAAGAACGATTTCTTTATGAAGATCGATGAAAACTAAATGGAAATTAAAATTAAATTAAAAAGAAACAAAGAACAATGGAAAGAGAAGAAGAAGAAGAAGAAGAAGAAGAAAAAAAAAAAGAAGAATTATTATTTAAATACGAATCCAAGTCTCCTCCATTCGATTTCTTTCCTTTTATATCAATTTATTCATTTATCCAAATGAGATCAGCTGTGTTTGTCATGTAATTAATATTATGCAACGAAAAAAATCATATCAACAAATTTGTTACATAGTAATTGATTACAAAAAAAAAAAAAAAGAAAAAAAATAAGAAATGATATCACAGCTTGATATATATATATATATATAAATATAAAAGAAAAAAAAAGAAAGAAAAAGAAAAAGGAAATGAATCGTAAGAAGTAAAAATTTATGTTTCAAGAGAGTCGGAGAAAGAGAAAGGCGTTACGTCAATAGAACGTGCTATCTCTATTCGTCATCTAAAGTATCGGATCTATGGAGATCTTTTCGTGATCGATAGTTTGATAATATCCAATAGATAGGTAAAAGCGATCACTTTACACGAATATAAACGACTTATCGACTACTCGATGAAATTCGAGGTGAACGATTTTACATTGATCTATCGCTTTTCAAATGTTCTTTTTATCTATCTATCTCCATTTCGATTAGGACACTTCAAAGCGCGAAAATCATTCGAATGTTTTGTTTTTTCTTTTTAATGGCTCTCAAAAGTAATCTTAATTAATGCGCTTTACTATACGCAAAAAAGTTTGATGGATTTATCGATGTCGTACGTGATCAATATGAATATATCTCGTCGTATCGATCGTTACCATTTATAAAAAAAAACAAAAAAAAAAAAAAAAAGAGAAAAAAAATTCACTTTACAATGTATAATTGCAACCTCAAATATAATTGCAACGATTTACTCTCGCACGTATCGAATCGTAAATTAATATTAAATATTATTCATCGATCTAAATTGATCTGATTATATCATAAAGAAAAAGTATTTCCGCTTGAAAAAAAAAGAAAAAATAAAAAAAGAAAAAAAAAAATAAAAAAGGAGGAAGAAAAAAAGGGAAGAGAGAGAAAGGAAAGGAGACAAAAAAGAATAATATTTTTACTTACACTGTGAAAAAACGTATCCGCTGCTTTCGGCATATCATTGTCACCTGCAAAAATAAAAAATACACGTCAGATACACCGTTCAATATTTTCAATATTTACAATGACGTATATATATATATATATATATATGGTGTTTTATCCGCATCCCCCGTACAATGGACATTGCCGAGAGAAAATTTAACAACGAGAAAAAAAAAAAAGAAAAAAAAAAAAGAAGAAGAAGAAAAAGAACAAAAAATAAAAGGAAAAAAAGAAAACAAAAAAAAAAGAAAAAAAGAAAAAAAACCATAAAAGAAAAACAAAGTAACAATTAAAAAGAGGAGGAAAAAAAAAAGAAAAAAAAAAAAAACGTTCGGTAAATAAAACTAAGTAAGTAAAAGAGAAAAGATAGATGGAATAAGACGAAATTTTATTTCTCTAATAAATATATATATATATATATATATATATATATATATATAAATTATTGTCGGAAGTATTTCATTCCAGTTTTGAAAATCAATGTCTGTTTATTTCCGTCAAGTTTGGGACAAGCTAAGTACGAAAACAATAATCGTAAGCTCTGACGGTTCCTATAATCCGGTTTATAAACATCACTGTAGTCTATTTAAATCTCAATTGCCAGATATACAAAGTTCTATCTATCTATCCATTTCTCTCTCTCTCTCTCTCTCTCTCTCTCTCTCTTTATCTCTATATATCTATGTATTTGCGAAATGCAAGAAGAAAAAGAAGATGAAGAAGATAATCATGATGAAAAAGAAGAAGAAGAAGAAGAAGAAGAAAAAGAAAAAGAAAAAGAAAAAGAAGAAGAAAAAGAAAAATAAGAATAAGAATAAGAATAAGAAAAGGAAAAGGAAAAGAAGAAGAAGATAGTCCTCGATGGTCGAAGCGAAACGAGGCAAACGAGGCAACGGTCACGTACCGTTTAACGCAGATCGACTTACAATCAGAACCTTCTAATTGCTCGCTAGGATGACAAAACTTTCAACATCGAACGTCCGCTCTCCCGGTTGAAAGGTACTTGCTACGTTCCTGACTTCGTTGCATGTATTATTGTGTATATATATATATATATATATATATATATATATATACACCTCCTATCTATCTACCAATATACATAAATGTACTTATACACGTTTCCTCCTTCACGTAATTCACCAAGTATCCTTCATTATACACGATCATTATGCCAATTGAGATTTATGTTTCTATGGATTATTTTATAACTAGGATCTTTGTTTCTTAATTGATTTCTATCCAAGAGAAAGGTGATAAAGAGAGAGAGAGAGAGAGAGAAAAAAGAGAATAGTATATTTCGCACGAGAAAATAATTTCATTATGAATACATATTTATTTTTTTCAATTTTATTAAATTGAATTCTTATTAAGAATAATTATTATTCGCAAAACTAATATTTCCTTATTTTTTCTCCTTTTTTGGCCTTTCTTATTTTCTTCTTTCTTTTGTTGTCTTGTTGTTGTCTTTCTTTTTCCCCTTTAAATTGTCTCATTCTCGTAATGTAATTTATACTATAATTATAATAATTAATTCTATCCTTTTTACTTTTTCTCTTTTTATCGGCGACATAACTTTTGCATTATGATATCGTAAGTTAAAAAAAAAACAAAAAAAAAAAAACAAAAAAAAAAAAAAAGAAAGAGAAAAAAGAAGAGATTCGATTGATGACGCAAGTATAATGACAATTAGCTAATTTAAAATGTAATTTTCAATAGTTTGCATAATCGATATTTAATAAAGCACGTTAGACTCTTACGTGCGAAAAAAAGAGAAAGAGATAGGGAAAGATTTAATAATTGAAGAAATAATTCATTCAACGACACGATAAGATTATAGGTTTAAGAATATATTTTTATCGATAAACGATCGTATATGTTTTTTGCAAATAGCATGAGTAATAATCATTAATATGAATCAACAAATAAATAAATAAATCTCTTCGTGTTGGTATCACGAGTTTTAAAATAAGTAAAAAAATGAAAATGAAAAAAAAAAAAAAAGAAAAAAGGAAGAAGAAGAAAAAAAGAAAGAAAGAAAGAAAGAAAGAAAAAACAAAACAAAAAAGAAATGAAGACGATACTGACCCTGTAACATTTGTTCTAATTTTCGTCGATCAACGCGGAAACGATCCTGATGTAGATCTTCCGGATTAGCGATCCCAAGAACTGCCGCAAGATCTCGGAGTTCTTCGCGACTCTCGAAACCGGACTTGCCGGAGATGCTACTCGTCGCGGTACCCTCCGACGTCTCCGACATAGTCTCTGCCGCCCTCCGCTCTGTCTGTATCACCTCGTCGGGTCTCATCTCGTTCGATTGCTCCTACGGCGTAATCGCCGTATCTCTCTACAAGAAGAAGAAAAAAAAAAGAAATAAATAAATAACAATAATATTTTCAGAAATATTTTTACGAGTATCAAATAAAAAAAGAAAGAATTTTTCCTATATATATATATATATACATACATATATATATATATATATGTAGAAAGAGATGTATGTACGAGTATATCAGAAAGACGAATATTAAGAATAAAGGTGAACATTAGATATAATAGATGTCGTTGTTTGAAGTTCAGGTGAAAATAAAGTCGAGGACATTGTCAAAGGACGAATGACAAAAGAGTTTTGTAAAAGTACATATCGTAAAAGGTCGGTTAATGACCGAGTCAAAGTATTAAAATTTTTGGATAAGTACGAAAAAGTAATAAGAAGGAAAAAAGAAGAAAAAAAGGAGAGGAAAAAAAAAAGAAAAAGAGAAAGAAAACTTTTCGCGAAGTACATTAAATTCGACCGATTCGATCAGATGGAAACGACGATAAATACATACATATATACATACATACATACATACATACATATATACATACATACATACATACATACATACATACATATATATGTATCAAACACACACATACATGCGTTCGTTATTCTGCGTACAGGGTGATTCATCCGACATGACCTCACAATATGTAATTTTTAATCACAAAAATATGTATAAAGTAAATCAAAAGTAAAAAAGATAGCAAAATTATATTCCTCCTGATATTATTATTATTATTATTATTATTATCATTATCATTACCATTATTATTATTATTATTATTATTATTATTATTATTATCTGATGGACAATCAAGTGTAAAAAAAGAAACAAAAAAAAAATATATATATATATCAGCGTTTCGATGATACGTTTGCTTTATAATTATTTATAAATAAATATATATATATATATATATATATACAATATACATATATATATATATATATATATATATATATATATATGAGGATGGGGAAGGTAGATCGCGTTTAGGTGACTCACCCTGTACGTAGGCGTACGAATCTCTCACGTTTCCTTGATTTCTTTTTCTTTCTTTTTCTTATTCTTTTTCTCCCTTTCTCTCTCTCTCTCTCTCTCTCTCTCTCTCTCTCTCTCTCCCTCTCTCTCTCTTTCTCTCTCTCTTTCCCTTTCGTTTTCTTTCTTTCTTTCTTTCTTTCTTTATTTCTTTCTTTCTTTCTCCGACGTCTAAATATTGTTTATACTTTAAAGGAGGACGATGCTACCAGCTTGCCAGCCGGAGACGGAAAAGGGTAGCGCCGCTATCGACGCCGACCGTTTCTCGGAATTCGAAGGAATTTTCGTGGTAAGGCCCGACTTGATCGGCCAATCAGAAACGATTTCTTCCCGTTCGCGAGACATCGATTCACTCTCTCTACCTTATTTTATCTCTCTCACTCTCTCACTACGTACCAACACGCGTTCTATCCTCCTCTCTTTTCCTATTTCGATGTCATATATATGTATACACGAAGACCTTTCCTAGTCTCTAGCTTCAACAAAAAATTGTTTTCGCGATCGAGCACGCTCGAACGTGAGCGCGCGAGCTTGATCATCGACACTTCTCTCCATCTCTCTCTCTCTCTCTCTCTCTCTCTCTCTCTCTCTCTCTCTCTCTCTCTCTCTCTCTCTCTCTCCCTCTCTCTTTCTCATTCTCTCTCTATGTTGAGTGTTTGTATATGTGTATTTATTTCTCTCTTATTTACTTACTTATTTACTTTCTCCGTGTTTCTCTTCTTCTATTTTCTTCGTCAGAAGGAACAAACAATGCATTGCCCTCCTCCACTTCTAACTATTAGCTAATCCTCTCTATATATTTATTTCTATTTCTATCTCTTTCTCTCTCTCTCTCTCTATCTCTATCTCTCTCTTTCCTCTTCGAAAAAAAGAAAAAGAGATAGAAAGAAAAAGGAAGAGAATAGAAAAAGCAAAAGAGAATAGAAGAAGAAAAGGTCGCAACATTGATTTTACTCATCCTCGATACTCTCGATACTTTTGATCGCGATGCGATAAGAATTGTCGATGAGCATTTGGTGGTCTTTGCTCGTGAATTATCTACCGGCAAATCCAACCAATTCCCCCCTACTAGTCTTTATATAAGGACCCTTATCGTTCTTATGATGATAAGAGAAAAAAGAGAGAGAGAGAGAGAGAGAGAGAGAGAGAGAGAGAATTGTTAACTTTAAAAATGACCAAATTGCGGATCACTTCTTCTTCGTCGAAATTTTATTTACAATAAATTATCCCGGTCAATATACAAGCCAGAGAAAAGAAAGAAAAAAGAAAGAGAGAGAGAGAGAGAGAGAGAGAGAGAGAGAGAGAGAAAGGGAGAGAGATAAAAGAGAAGAAGAGAAGAGGAAAAAAAAAGATAAAATTGCGCGTAGTTAGAGAAAACAAAAAATAAAGAAATAAAAGGAAGAAAGAAAAGGAATATACATGATTTTATTTAAGAAACGCGAAAAGAAAGAGAAATTGTTTTGCTGTAAAATTCGACAACATATCCATACACATATTTATATATATATATATATATATATGTATATGTATATATGTGTATATATACGCATATATACATAGAAATTTTTTTCTTTCCTCCACAAAAGCAATCGTTGATTTGTGATTTGATCTATTATATGTATGTATATATGTATGTATGTATGTATGTATATATGTGTATATGTATGTACAAACCTCGATAAACGCTCGGACGCGATCGATCAATCGATCGACTTGAGCGACCTTGCGAGCGTCCTCCTCTCCGGAGGAAGAGACCCTCCTCCTTTCGGAGCCCGATAACGCGACGATAACGACGAGGTGAACGACGAGGAAGCGACGCGAGACCGGCTTATAGCTCACCACCTGTTTCCGCCGGCTGTTACCTTGACACCGTCGCGAGAGACTGCTCGGGAGTAGTGTTCTCCGTCTTTCTTTCCTGATGAGAGAGAGCGCGCGAGCGCGCGCGCGCGCACGCACGCACGACGCACGCACGCACGTTGTCTTTCTTACCTCTCGATCTCTTCCGACTCTAACCGATCGATCCCGATTACTATTCGGCGGGTAAAGCGAAATCGAATAAGCATCATTATTATTGATATTCTTATCGACTTAAATTATCCTAATTTAGAAATTTTCTTTATCTTTTAATTTCCCATCTTTTTTCATTTATTTGCCATAACAAAATAATTTATATACATATATGTACATATATATGTATATATATATATATATATATATATATATTAATATTTATGTACATATATATATATACCTAATTCTCTTTACGATTACTATCGGGAGAGAAATAGATAAAGCGAATCAAGAACGTTATATTACTATTGATCTTTATATCGAATTTTGTTATACATATTTAGCTCTTTGAATTTATCTTATTGTAAATTTATTTGACATAACAATATATATATAAATACATATATATATATACATGCATGTATGTATGTATGTATGTATGTATGTATGTATGTATGTATGTATGTATGTATGTATGTATCATCATTTATCATATCAAAATTATATATGCTTATATATGCATATATAAATATACATATATATGTGTGTGTGTGTGAGTGTGTCTCTATGTGTGGTATACACCTATTGAATTATTGAATAAAAACATCGAAGCGAAAATGATGATCGATAGAAAGAAGTAGATTCTTAAATTATTCAAGGATCGATCTTGAATATATCCAAACGACCGGTTAGATATTTTTCAAACGAGTTTGAACGAGTTACAAGAACGAAGTACATATATAAAGTTACATGAAGTAAAAGCACTGTTCATAAGAAGTATTCTTAATGATTCAAAGTTATCAGTATTAGGGATTTAACGGGATAGAGTCAATAAGATTTTCCCTTCGCTTTTGAAAGCTAATTATCCCAAGTATTTACAAGTCTTGTATTCGTTCGAAACACGTTTTAAATGGACAAGGAGAAAGCTGTTTGATAGTAATTTTAAAGAGTAATAAGAATTGCGGTATTAATAGCGGTTAATTTCTAAACAATTTAAAGGAAAAAAAAAAAAAATAATAAAAAATAAAAAAATGGATGCCGACAGAAATAATGAAAGGGATGAACAAAAAAAAGAAAAAAAAAAAATTGATTCCGATTAACGATGAAACGAATGAACGAACGAACGAATGAAATGAACGGCGGACAATTTTCTTCCGAACCATATGACGAAATGAATGAACAAAAGAAAAAGAAGAAAAAAAAAATTGCCACTCTTGATTCTAAACGATTGATGGATGAACCGAACGAACAAAAGGCATTAAGATTCTGATCGGATGAAAAAGTAACCGTCGACAAATAAAATGGCACACGAAAGCATTTCAATGGGAGTTAATGAACTTGAGAAAAATAAAAATAAAAATAAATAAATAAATAAATAAACGAATAAAAAGATATAGTAAAGAAAATTGAAGGAAAAAAAAAAGAAGAAGAAGAAGAAATGATAGTAAGATTGTCGAGTAATATTAATGAAAAGCTTACTTAACGTAAAAAAAAGAAAAAAAGATTGAATAGAAGAGAAGAAGAGAGTAGAAGCTTCCTCGTGATTCGAGGGCGTCGGATTGACCCCTAGCGTCAGCTCAGCATCGCGTACACACGTAAAATTTTCGCGGCCAGAGAGACGCGAGCGTCCGACCCCGCGTCCTTTTCAAAGCCGACTGACGTCGATCGCTGGCTATGCGACCGACGGACCGACCGGCACTCCACGAGGATTCACGATCGCCACTCCGATTGGGCAGTACGATCGGGCGCGCCATACGCAACCGGTCAGCGGCATTACGCCTTTCTACGACGTGGACATTGCTATCTTTATCATTTTCTTTTCTTTTCCTTTTCTTTTTCTTTTCCTTTTCATTATCTTTCTCTTTCTCTCTTGATTATTTCCTTGGTATTCTTATCACTTATAAACTCGACTCGTCAAGAAGCATTGATTATCGACGATCGTTTTCACTTTTTCAATTTTACGAATCATACTATATTTATATATATATATATATATATATATATATATATATATATATATATATATATGTTTCTTTTAGAATCCGTATTCTTGACATTTTCGCATAGCGCGTTTCGGTCATATTATCATAGTACAATAAATAATACGTAATAGAGATAATGATTAACCTATTTTTTTTTATTTGGACTCATGTTGTATCGTAAAAACAAAAAGAAGAAATGAAGGAATAAAAAACCATGCTGGCAAAATTGATCATAGATGAGATTTAATCGGTCTAATACGATTGTTTACTGACGCATTATGATTATAAATAAAACGATGAATATATATTTATTTTTTGTGCGCGCTTAGAAATTTTCATCGGAAAAATTAACATACGAAAAAAGATATATATATATTATTTACAAATAGATAAGAAAATGATACTTTACATTCGATAGGACGACTTGCATAATCGTAAATATATATATATATATAATTATATATATATATATAATCTAAGTACCGTTTATTCTTATCGACCCATTCTTGAGAGTCACCATAGATGTTCTCGCTTTACTAATAAGGAAAAGAAAGAGAGAAAGAAACAAAAACAAAAAAGAAAGGAAAAAAAAAAGAAATATGATACCAAAATAACGCAACAGAAAAGTAACGACGACGCTCGGATTACACGGTGGTATTCGTCGTCATAGCTCGTTAAGGTTTATAGATGGGCCTCGTACATAATTAAAGTGCCATTCCTAACTCATTGTCAACGTCCGTGTATTGCCAATTACGTTGTCGTAACATGTTACGTATCGTAAGAACGAGCTAAACGTTTGAAGGTTAATCCTCGTCGATTTTATTTGCCTATCGCATGAAATTACTATTTTCTGTTTGATTTCGTAATGATCTGTTTGATCACTTATTTATTCATGTAAATATCATGATCTCTTTGATCTTAGTTAAAAAAAAAAAAAAAAAAGAAAAAAAAAAGAAAAAAGAAAGAAAGAAGGAAAAAAAAAATATATCAATTTTGTTCTTTTCCTTTTTCTTTTTTTTCTGTCTAGTGTCTCTTTCTTTCTTTCTCTCTTTCTTTTCGTAACCTCGAGAAAACGATATTTCTCTTGCTGTAATAAAGGATTATTTTATTATATATTGTCATTTGGATTAATTTTCTTTACCTTTTGACACAATGTAGCCGTAGTTGATTTAGAACTTTGGAATTTTTCGAAAACTATTTGAACGAAATTAACGATAGTGACTCTTTATAATTCTCTATAATAACTTTGCCTCCATTAAAAGTGTTTACACGCTAATGTATTATGAAATTGCTTCGATACAATCTAACGACATAATCGAACATAGTATTCGATCATCGGCATCGACAATATTACCTTTGAAAGTAAAAAAATAATATAACATTCGTGATATAATCCATTCGTTTAAATGTTAATTATTATGAAGAAAAAAAAAAAAGTAAAAAATAAAGATCATATCGACGCAGTAACGAATAGATGACGCGTCGATCATTTTCGCGCTTCCAGGATCGTAACTATGGGACCGGGGGCCCTCCAATAAAGGTACTAATACTTTTGTAGTAGATGGCGCCTCGATCGATATTATCCCAGTTACGTATCAAATATACATTCGAGTAGCACCGTAATACTATCGGATTTAAATATGAAAACTTAAGTTTTTTTTCTTACAATAAAAATAATAATCCTAATATGTTACAATTATATATATATGTAATTAATTGAAATATCAGAATAATCTAATAAAACATTTGTTTTATATATACGACGTATATTATCGACTCAACATCCGGTGCAATTATGTGGTCTTCTTATTTGTAACAATAGTGTACTGTATAAATTTATATTTTATATTTATACGAAATTTTTTTTTTTTATTTTAAATAAATAATCACGAATAGAAAAGTGATCCGACCAATCTGTGATATAATCCTTTTTCTCTTCTTGACTTATAATGAAGTTTTTTATGGAACCTCTTTTTTGTAAATATATAACCTAAAAATAAATATAAACAATGAAAAATGTTGCAAACATTACGGGAACGTTCGCAAAAAAGGAAAAAACTACTTGCACAAACGGTAAATAATACGATTGTTTGATTATTCTCTATATATGTGCCCTTGTAATTTGACATTCTTTAAAATCTTTGCTTTTCTTTTAGCTTGGAGTTTCTAGTGTAGATGAATTAAGACAAATTTTGGGTACCGACATCGATGACGTCCAGAAAAAAAAGGGAAAACTATTATCTGAAAAATCGGAAAGCACTGTTAAAGATTTAAAAGATGATACAGTGCCTACGGATGAAATTGTTTACAAGGATTCATCTACATTTTTAAAAGTAACTTCTTACGTTTATTCAATGTTATTGTTTACTTTCATATAAATTATTTCTTAATATTTTAGGGGACACAATCATCCAATCCACATAATGATTATTGTCAACATTTTATAGACACTGGTCAAAGACCACAAAACTTTATAAGAGATGTAGGATTAGCTGATAGATTTGAGGAATATCCTAAACTAAGAGAATTAATCAAATTAAAGGATGATCTAATTGCGGACACTGCTACACCTCCGATGTATCTCAAAACTGATCTCCTTACTTACAATTTAAAAGAACTCAATTGTAAATTTGATGTTATTCTTATAGAACCGCCATTGGAAGAGTATCAAAGAACATGCGGTGCAACAAACGTACAGTTATGGAACTGGGATCAAGTTAATAAAAATTCTATTATTGTAAATCAATCATTCAAGCTTATTGATTTCTGTAAAATAAAATTTTTTCTCTCTCGCAGATAATGGAATTAGACATCGGTGAAGTAGCCGCTAATCGAAGTTTTGTATTTTTATGGTGTGGAAGTAGCGATGGTCTAGATATGGGACGTTTCTGTCTCCGGAAATGGGGTTTCAGACGTTGCGAAGACATTTGTTGGATTCGTACAAATATTAATAATCCAGGACACAGTAAGAACTTAGATAGTAAAGCTGTGCTTCAAAGAACTAAAGAGCATTGTTTAATGGGTATTAAGGGAACAGTGAGAAGATCTACAGATGGAGATTTTATTCATGCAAACGTTGACATCGATTTGATAATATCGGAAGAACCTGAATATGGATCCATTGAAAAGCCAGTCGAAATATTTCATATAATTGAACATTTTTGCCTTGGTAGACGAAGGTAAAGATCTGTTAAATTAATCATTATTTTGATGATATATACTTATTTTAAATATTATTTTTACAGATTACATTTATTTGGACGTGACAGCACAATTAGACCAGGTTGGCTCACCGTTGGACCAGAATTAACAAATACAAATTTTAATGCTGATCTCTATACTGGTTATTTTTCTAATGGCCAAATAACCACAGGATGTACAGAACGTATAGAAGCTCTTAGACCAAAATCCCCACCACCTAAAGGCAAGGTTTCTGGTCGAGGTAGAGGTGGTTTTAATCGTGGTAGAGGAAGAGGAAGATGAATAAATGTGTAAAACTTCTTTTTAACGAACTACAACATTTCAATTTGTAGTTTCTGATATAAGAAATTGTACCTAAGTTGAATGTGATTTGTAAATTGTATATGAAGTATTCATTTGTAATACTTACACGTGCATTTTAACTAATACTATCTTATAAATGATCGTAGCTCTTGCTAAAATAAGTTTTTGCAAGATAAACAATACAATATATCAATATCTTCTTTCCACTTTTTCTTAAATATACGGTCGAGCTAAGCTAAAAAAAAAAAAAGAAAAAAAAAAAAAAATAATCTTTTTCTCCATCTTATAACTTTGATTAACATTATATTTAGGAAAATTAGAAAATCATGTTTAAAGATTACAAACTCTCGTTGTTACAAAATATTTAGATGGTATGTTTTATGTGTATTTACATTAAATCAAAATATCATTTTATAAGTAATAATAATGTAATTATATAGAAATTATCAGATAATTTCTTTCAATTTGATGAATTTATTTAATAATCACGAATAAAATTTTTACACGGGAATATATTTAATCTGGGATCATTCCACTGTGAAGTCTGAATTTTCCAAAAAAAAAAAAAAGAAAAAAAAAAAGAAAAAAAAAAGAGAAAAAAGAAAAAAAAAGAATTTAAGAAAGACTTCTTTTTTATATAAGGATAATTTTAACGCAATATTAGAAGTGTGAATTTTTGTACTGTGTGATATAATATTAACGAACGTAATAAATATCATAGATTTGTTTTAAAGTAAGGTTTTTTAAGATATAAATAAAATGAATCTTACGACGAAAGATTTCAAACATCAATCTTTATGTTATAAAAATAAAAGATCGTCTTGAAAGTATTATTGCTTCCTTTCTTGCACAAATAGTTACCATTAATTGTTGGTACATTAAGTGAAACAATAGCATTATAGCTGATAATCATAATAATGTAGAGAATCGCAATATTCCTTTATATAATATTGTATTATGTATTATATATAATTATTGAAATATATTTAAACATCATTTAAAGGTATATGTAAATACTGGAAATCATCTTATTAACAATTCTATAATGCTGAATAATAAATGTGTCATGACTTATCTTTAATTTTCATTTGACGATACGTTAGTATAAATTTAACACAATTCATGTGTGATTGAGAATTAATATTTAAAAACAAAAACAAAAGAAAAAAAAAAGAAAGAAAAAAAGGACAAGAAGAAGAAAAGAAAAAAGAAACATTACAATCTTACAAATATGTTTATGAAGACGCAGTGTGTAAGTAATCAAAAAGATTGGCTTATATCTTAAGACGAGAATAATAAATGTGATTTACGATTGTGTGGTCTCGTATTGGTGATAATAAAAATAATATTATATTGTTTGGCTAAATTAATTCAATTATAGCCAATGTAATGATATAATTTTAATAAAATAAAAGATATATACGAGATGTTAGTATCTAATTATTTAAAAATTCCCTATTCTTTTTTTTTTTTTTTTTTTTTTTTTTTTTTTTTTTTTTTTTTTTTTTTTTTTTTTTTTTTTTTTTTACAAAGAATCCTAGTATATTAATGAAATGTCTCCACGCATACATAAAATATAGCTAAGGTATATATGTATTCTAAAAATTTGTTAATTAATCATTTTCACACATATTTGAGATCAAGTCATCTAATTTGTACTCTGTAGGCTAAGTAGAACGTAAGGTCAATGTTATAAATATTATTTCTTAAAGTAGTCTCATTTTAAAGTATGCAGACTTATACATAATCGTATTGGTCCCAGTAAAGCTTCGGGTAACGAAAATTGTAATTGAAAAGAGAAAAAAAAAAAAAAAAAAAGAAAATAATAAAAAAAAAAAAGAACAAACGCATTTTATTATGGCTTCTAAAGGTGTCCTAAGCTTATTATCCTTTTAAAAATGATAACGATACAGATTTCATTATAAAATTCATTTGTAGGCTTAATCTATATAGGCAACAATGAACTTTTTAATTTCTCTCAAATCGATATTGCAATCAAATTGCAAATAATGCAATAGAAAAACAAATCATCATCGTCATCGTCATCGTCATCATCACCGATATTGTGCAGAATAAATTAAAATATTCATTTATTGTACAGCATTAAAGTAGATGATCAAATAATTTATTTATGATCGATCGTGCCAGAAGCTTCTCAAAGCTTGTATGGTAAATGAATAGATATGTGTATGTGTATGTGTTTGTGTATGTATATGTGTTGTGTTATTTGTGTATCCTTTTACGCGACATTCTTCCCTATTAATTATAACAATTATAAAACGTACACAATATGCTGATGTCTACGTAACAATAGTGTCATTAAGATTCCACATATGTGGCATATAACAAGAAAAAATATATCGAGTATTAAACATCGGGGAGATAAATTTTAAATGTAACTACGTAACTCTTATGTGCTGAACGTGTTACCACATTTTAAATCTATGAAAAATATTATAAATATGTAATACGAAGAAACGTTTATTCATTCTCTTAAAAAAAAAAAAAAAAAAAAAAAAAAAAAAAAAAAAAAAAAAAAAAAAAAAAAAAAAAAAAAAAAAAATATATATATATATATATTTATAATTTTTCATCGGAATAATTTTTATATGACCTTCAAAAGATAAATTTCGAATGATTATTAAGATCGTCAATTATTATTATTTTTCTTTACATATATATATATATATATATATTTATATATATACATATATATATATATAAATGTATATATATTACAAATAACGATCTATCCTAGTCCTCGATACACTAAACTGCAACTGCAGATATTTGTTTAACGATATAGAGGCACAGAGTTCTATCGGGCTAAGATGTAAGTCGATACATAATAAAATATTTGGAACGGATTTACTTTCCCTTTTTTTTTTTTTTTTTTTTTTTTATATATATATATATATTTATATATATATATATATATATAAATAACTTAATGGAGAAACGGAATTGCAAAAATTATATTAAATAAAGGATAAGTCTGGCAATTGCATGTAACAACTAATATTTGTTTATCAAAATACGATTTTCGCGCGCTAATAATTTTGCCCATGCTAACTCACTATGGCAAGAAAGAATATGTATTCTTCTTTTATTAATATATATATATATATATATATATATATATATATATATCTGCAAAAGATGCTAGAAAAATGTTCACGTTGAAAAAAGGAAAAACAAAAAAAGAAAAAAAGAAGAAAAAGAAAAAGGCGAAAAAAGAAACAAAATAGAAACGAGAAGACAATGCGATGTCAAAAGATGATCGATTCGAATGAACTCGAAAATACTAGATTAATATTTGAGACGTTAAGATATCAATATTTGGCAACTATTCTCTCATTTTCGTAACAGTAATATATAATACACGTCGTGTATTTAAAAAATTGACTGAATTAATTTTTGTTTTCCCTCTAAGAAAATACAAAAAAAAAAAAAAAAAAAAAAAAAAGAAAAGAAAAAAAGAACTGAATCTGAATTAAATATTAAACTTCTGAATATTCTTTAGTTCTTCCTAAAAAAAAGAAAAAAAGAAAAAAAAAGGAAGAAAAAAGAAAAATAAAATACTAGCAGTCTAATCGAAAATGCAATGACGACATATAATTGAGTAAAAAAAATTTGTTGTTGCGGAATAAACTTCGTTTTCTTTTCCTATTTAACTAATATAATCGTTATATCATTGTAATTCGATTGAAAATTTTTTGAACGATGCGTTTCGACTTACCAAGGACGTTCAATGAGCGCACATGCGCTCCATTATTATTTTATTATTACTATTATTATTATTATTATTAATATTATTTTTATTATTATTATTATTATTATTATTATTATTATTATTATTATTATTATTATTATTATTTTACTGTCTCTCTATTTTTCTTCAAATCTATTTTTTGTCCCTATTATTTCAGTTATACACGACACTGTATATACCTGATGTTATTAAGAAACGAAGAAATATTATTGAGTGTAATATAAATTAAATATTTGTTACCTATGAAATTAATTAAAAGGAAGAAAAAAAAGAAGAAAAAAAAAAAAAAAAAAAAAGAAAAAAAGAAAATAAAGAGTAAAAAACAATTGATAAAGCTTGAGCTTGTACCAACAATTACAGGGGATGCGGGTATGCATGCGTAGCGAATGGCAGGCAGGTTACGATGGTCGATCGATCGAGATCTATCGATCAGAATCATAATCAAGCGATGTCTTGGCAGTCAGAGGATGATCGTCTTAGAAGGAGTTTAGCTCTGAATGGCCCGCCATCAGTCAAGTCGCATAATTTTCACACATACGTCGACTCCCCTGTAAGCAGACCAAGCGTCAGTCGCGAGCAAAAAAAAAAATAGTTATTATTATTATTATTATTACTATTACTATTACTATTACTATCACTATTATTATTATTATTATTATTATTATTATTATTAATATTATTATTAATATTAATACTCTGTCTTGCTTTACTAACAAGTACAATGGTGGTAGTGTTCTGATCAGTAGGATAAGATCGCATTAAACACGCGCGTGTTTATATGATTTTTTTCATGTATATATATATATATATATATATATATATATATATATATATATGAATGAACAGTAATTATGTGTGTATGTATGTGTACGATTAAAAAGATTAGAAAAAAAATAATGTAAAAAAGAAAAGAAACTTTAAATGATGTCGACACCTTAAATACAATCCCTGTTCGTCGATTAAAATATTACAAAAAAACCAGTTAATTGGTATTGCGAATGAATCTAAATGTAACATTCAATTCCTGTAATATATAAAAAAATTTCTGTACATAATTGTTATTTACATGGTGCGGATTACATTGTATAAAAATGTATTGTCTGAAAAAAAAAAAAAAAAAAAAAAAAAAAAAAAATATAAATTATTTGATTAATGTTATACACATGTTTAGAGGAAATCAAATTTATTTATATACATACACATACTGTGTGTGTGTGTGTGTGTGTGTGTGTGTGTGTGTGTGTGTGTGTAATGAAACTTAAGGAAAAACAAAAAATGAAATATGTACGTACTTATATACGAAACGTGCAATGTAATGTTAATCGAAGTACATATTTTGAAAAGTAGTCGTCATACCTCCTGACAGAAGTTTAATTTTTTTTGTTTTTTTAGATGGACAGGAGAATAGTACCAGCAGTAATAGTAGTTAGTAGTAGTAGTAGTAGTAGTAGTAGTAGTAGTAGTAGTAGTAGTAGTAGTAGTAATAGTAGTAGTAATAGTAGTAGTAATGGTAATAGTAGTGTAATAGTAGCAGTAAGGTAAAGCTTCGAAAGTCGTGTACGAAGAGAATATTATAAATTAAAAATGGAAGAAGAAAAATTATTACGTGTTTCTCGTTTATATTTTAAAACAGATTTTGCATGAATTATATAAAAGTGGGCCGTCGTAAAGAATGTAACTTATAAAACGGTACTTATATGATCTCTATATAGCGAAGGAAAAAACATTTCTCGTGAATGTATGTATAAGTTATACAAAGAGCAGTATCTCATTCATATTTTCCTTCTATTTGTTCTTTGTTTTTTTTTGTTTCTTTTTTTCTTCTCTCTTTTTCGTTTTCTTTCTCTCACCCCCCCCACTCTCTCTGTCTCTCTTTCTCACTCTCTCTCTCTCTCTTTCTTTTGGGAATAAACTTTATCTTTTTCTCTTCCGCTTATTATTCATTATTTCTCTCTCTCTCTCTCTCTCTCACTCTCTCTCTCTCTTTTTATATTCTTTTTTCCCTTTTTATTATTTTAATTCAAGTTTCTGATCTTCTCTCTCATCCTTTCGAGATTGATCGTACGTAACGATATAAAACGAGGTATCGCAAAGAGTGACAATCCAGTTTTTTGTTTGAAAAACGGACGACTCGAAAAAAAAAATCAGGATCAAAGTGATAAAAGATCATTCCACTTGCGTTCTATCGTCCGTCAATGAACGATATGAGACGATCTAATAATAAACAATACGCGATACGCGTGTATGTACAAGAGAGACTAACTATGATACACGGTATCGTTTGTCCTTGTCATACCTCATTTTTTGACACTTCATTTCTCCTTTTTCTCTCTCTCTCTCTCTCTCTCTCTTTCACTCTGTCTCTAAGCAATCCACACACAACAC